TATCGTTGCTAAGAGATCACTTACCAGGCTTATTAGAAGATGTTGACTTAGCAACAAGAGCAAGAATGTGGGCTTCAACAAGATGGTGCTGCACCGCATTATGCACTCTTTGTACGTGCCTTTTTAAATGCCAGTTACAATGAGAGATGGATTGGACGAAGGGGTCCAGTTAAATGGCCTCCTTGCTCACCAGATCTGACGTCGCCCGATTTCTTTTTATGGGGATACTTGAAAAATGTTGTTTTTGCTGAACGACCAACCACAAGAGATGATTTTATGGACCGCATTCGTAGAGCTTGTGCAGCCATTCCTAGAGTTACCCTGCTTAGAACTGTGGATAGTTTTCAAAACAGATTGCAGTTATGTCTCGAAGCCAACGGAAGTAATTTTGAACAATTACTCCGTGGGTAATTCATTTAAATTACAGTGTCAGTGAGAGGCAAGGGGACTCACGATAATCAAGCACCCCGACGTGAGAGGCAAGGGAACTCACGATAATCAAGCACCCCGACGTGAGAGGCAAGGGGACTCACGATAATCAGGCACCCCGACGTGAAAGGCAAGGGGACTCACGATAATCAGGCACCCCGACGTGAGAGACAAGGAGACTCACAATAATCAAGCACCCCGACGTGAGAGGCAAGGGGACTCACGATAATCAAGCACCCCGACGTGAGAGGCAAGGGGACTCACGATAATCAAGCACCCCGACGTGAGAGGCAAGGACACTCACGATAATCAAGCACCCCGACGTGAGAGGCAAGGGGACTCACGATAATCAGACACCCCGACGTGAAAGGCAAGGGGACTCACGATAATCAGGCACCCCGACGTGAGAGACAAGGGGACTCACGATAATCAAGCACCCCGACGTGAGAGGCAAGGGGACTCACGATAATCAAGCACCCCGACGTGAGAGGCAAGGGGACTCACGATAATCAGGCACCCCGACGTGAGAGGCAAGGGGACTCACGATAATCAGGCACCCCGACGTGAGAGGCAAGGGGACTCACGATAATCAGGCACCCCGACGTGAGAGGCAAGGGAACTCACGATAATCAAGCACCCCGACGTGAGAGGCAAGGGACTCACAATAATCAAGCACCCTAAAGGAAACAGAACTTACTACGTCCACGTCGTTGTTTCCGGGTAACGCTAAAAGTAAGATGAAAGTGCTTTTGACCTTGATATGACCTTCAAAAGGTCAGGTCGAAAAACTAAAAAATCTTTATGCTCATGTAAAAAGTGCCATTGTTTAAGAGTCCATTGTCAAGAAACGGATTCTGCGGTCAAAAATAGGGTTTACTAATAAAAAATGCGTTATGAACCTCAAACAACCTTGAAAATTGACCTCAAGGTCAAGCTAGTCAAAGTAATTTACACTTTTACAATTCATTGACTTTGTTTAAGCATTATGCACATTTGTGTTACCCAGAAAACCACGTCATTTCAGAAAAAGTACACCAGATCGTGTTTCAGGCATTTCACCTTCATTTTTGACCTTTCCAAGGTCGCAAAAACAATTTTTTCATAAGACAAGTTTGATGTAAAATTTTCCGCTCTTTCAAAATCCGCAGTCAAAAATAGGGTGTTCAATTTAAAAAAACCATCGTGACCTTGAAATAACCTTCAAAATTGACCTCAAGGTCAAAACCAATGGTACAATTGAATGACCCCCTCTGTCCTGGTCAACTTTTATCTAAACCATTTTTTTGTAGATACCGTAATTTGGAAGATATTCGGGTCCATAGATTAAAATGACTCACCCTGTATATATTGTATATACTATAATAATAATAAAAAGAAAAATAATGTCAATATTATAAACATACCTATTTTATTGTTCATAATTGCACTATTTTTTTCTTTTTTTCTTTATTTATTCTTTATCCTTTTTTGACTCTTTTATATTGTATGTTTAATTTCCTTTGCATTTATCCTTTGCATGTGTATCCTTTGTATGCATCAATTTAAATTAAATATATGATGTGTTAACTTAACTGAAAATAATAAAGACCCAGCTAGCCAAGGGTGATAAAATCACGTTTCGTTAAAGCTTTTCGGCAAAGTTTGCTTTAATTTTAACAACAATTTTCTGGCAAACATTTGCCTTGCTTCGTCTTGTCTAAATATTTCGAACAAATTAACGGCAAAACTTTTCGTTATATAATGCTGCAATTAACAGAGAAAAGTTTGTTCGTAAATTTTACTTATAGAAGAGAGCAAATGATGGTATCATGGTGAAATACAAACTTTACGTCAGTAATAGCAAATCTTGTGATACACGATATAAAGCAAATTTGTGACAAAAACAGAGCAAATCTTGCCATGCACGGTATAACAAACAATTTACGAAAAAAATAGAGCAAAGTTAACTCTGATACGATAAGACGCAATATTCATGCAAATAACAGAGCAAACCTTGTTGTGCATGGCGTGATAGCAAATTTGTGGCAAAAATAGAGCAAAGATTTGTTCTGGCATGATGAGACGCAAAATTTACGCAAATAACAGAGCAAACCTTGCCGTGCATGGCGTAGTCATGTGTCACATACGTTTGCGCGCTTTTAATGCGCGCTACTACGCTTGCGCGAATTTTTGTCCTGTAACCTCCAGCACTGTTCCCGCGTTCTTCTGAATTCAACCACCGTGAGTGCTACCATACGTGCCGCAAGGTTATCACAGAGGTTATAATTCTAGAAGCTTCCCACATTTTTGAGACGAGCTTCCAAGTTCTAAGTGCCGCAAGGTATCGCAGAGGATAAGAAGATTTTTCAGGCGAGTATGAAATCAGTTAAATATTCTGTTTCGCGTAAATCTTTCCACTGGTTGTCTGCGAGACAACGAAGGCGAATTACTTTGGAAATTAAAAATACTTTACATTCAAATGTTTCACAAGATCCTGTTACGCACAAACAGTTGGATAATGCTGCTTCCTTTCACGTTGCTGATTCTTTTCGGACAGACAATGAAGTTTCTTTTACGGACAATATTGCTAATAATATTTACAATATTACAGATACCAATAATATCGATAATGCGAATATATTGTCTAATAGTAATGGTAATGACAGTGAAGATTCCACTTCCTCATCTCTCAGATTTCTTCCATTGAAGAAACATTTCAAGATCGTTTAGCCGCGTGTTTTGTCAATAATAATTTTACACATGTTCAAAGTAATAATATTTTATCTGTTCTTCGAACACACACATGCTTCTCTTCGTTACCAAAAGATGTTAGAACTCTTTTAAAAACTCCACGAACACCTGTTGTTGTATCTGAAGTAGACCCAGGAAAATATATTTATTTCTCTCTTGAGGCAGAAATTGTTAAACATTATCATGTCTTCCTTCGGCATCTGTACCATATGAATTAGAAATCGATTTTAATACAGATGGATGTAGTTTAGATAGAGTAGGAAGTAATCACATCTGGCCAATTCAATGTAGACTTGCAAATGTTAAATATACAAGGCCAATAGTAATTGGAATATATAGTGGCGTTGAAAAACCACATGATCCTAACTTATTTTTTGAAAAATTTGTTACCGATGTTAACAATATAATAAGTAACGGTGGTATAGATTTTGCTAGTAATAAGATACCAATACGTTTAAGATGTTTTATAGCCGATGCACCAGCTCGTGCTTTTGTTCTTAATCACAGAGGTCATACATCTGGAAATCCTTGTTCAAAGTGCAAAGTTTCTGGCTTGCGATGTGAAGGCAGATATACATTTGGTGGTATTAATCATCTTCTTCGAACAAATGAAGAATATCTAAAATGTATAGATGAAGATCATCACAAAGATGGCAAAAGTCCATTGTCAATGTTACCCATAGGTATGGTTTCACAAGTTCCCTTTGAATATATGCATCTAGTATGTTTGGGCGTTATGAAGAAACTTTTATCTGCATGGATATGTGGTAAATATACACGTTTCTCAAAATTACCAGCAAGATCCATTGCTGTAATATCTCAAAGATTAGATAATCTTAAATCATATTGTCCATCAGATTTTGCAAGACGTCCTAGAACAATTAATCAATTTTCTAAATACAAGGCTACAGAATTTCGTCAATTTTTGTTGTATACAGGTCCAGTAGTAACATACGGTCTTCTGAATCAACAAGTATATACTCATTTTTGTTTTTGCATACTGCCATAAGAATATTGATTTCTACTTCGCCATCACAAGCATATTTAAACTTTGCTGAGATTGCTCTACAAAAATTTGTTTCGCGATGTGAGAATCTGTATGGTTCAGCATTCATTTCATATAATGTGCATGGTCTTCTTCATCTCACAAATGACGTGAGACAATTAGGTCCTCTTGATTCATTTTCTGCTTTTCCTTATGAAAATAATATGCCACTTTTCAGAAAATATTGTAGAAAATCTAATTTTCCTCTTCAACAATTTTCCAATAGAATATCAGAGATGGAAGCTTGTGAAACAAATTTGCATCATAGTCAAACTTATTTTTCCAAACTCACTGATTCTTCTACGCAAGTATTTTCAGCGCATAATAAAGGTCCTCTTCCACCTAATATTAATCAAAACAACTGTCAGTATCGGAAATTGATATTCAACAGAATTTTGCTGAGTTTGAATACACGAGATAATTGCTGTATTTTACATGACGGATCAATTTGCCTCATTGTCAATATCTTCATGGACAAAACCAAATATTATCTGGTTGTAAAAAAATTTCAAAAGGTAGATTCATTTTATGATATTGGCATTTTGTCCTCAGCACTTCAAATTTTTAAGTGTTCTGCAATAAGTAATGACATTTTTGTATCCAAGTAAATGAGGTACGCTTTAAATGTTATAAAATGCCTTATTGGAGTGGTTCATCAATAGGTAACAGTAGTAGTGATGAAAATGAGTCAGAAGTTAGCAATGAGTATGTAGTTAGTGCAATTGTACATACAGATGATCTGTAAAAAAATAAAAACGTTTATAGCTGTTCCCTTAGATATAATTTACAGGAAGAAGAATAATCTTCAGGATGACTAACAGAATACAGGTTAGTATAATTGAGTCATATAATTTTCACTCAGTTTAATTATAATGGCAATAATAACTGAATTCTTCAAATATTTTAGATGCTCTCTATATTTCTGCGCTTAAGGAAAATAAAAACAGGAATCATACTTAAAACAAATACAAATGTAATTACGTAAGTTATATGATTATTCATTTGCTTTTTCTGTCGTTTAATTTGCTATTTTCTGATATTCTTGCATAAAATAATATATAATTTTTTAATTTTTTCTAGGAACTGTTTTGCATGTATTGATTTTCTTTAATGCTCTATATATGCTCCAACTACTGGTGACTTCTGATTTCCTTTGAGAATAATATTTAAATATATATATATATGTATACTTTTTATTTCACTTTATTGGGTGCTTTCCATTCAATGACACAAATCTAAGGTCTGTTTTTTTAGCTGTACCAGTTCAAAGTTTATTTTTTTACTCCACATTGGAAAGGAAAAGATAAACTCTGAACTAGTGCAGCTAAAAAAACAGACCTTAGATTTGTATCGACTTGTGTCACTAAAAATAGAAAGTACTTATTATTAATTCCATATATATATATATATATATATATTAGGAGACGCGGTAGTGTCTCCGGCCATGTTCAAACCCTAAAAGACCTTAAAAGACACTACAAGTCTCCTTATCCTGCACCATCAAAGTCCATTTTTTGGAAGTATAGAACTACTAAAATATAAAAAATTTTGAATTGCACGTAATATAACCTGAAAGGCGGCATCGCCACGAGTAATTTGAGCCAAGAAGGAATAAAATCGGTCAAGCCGTTCTGGAGATACAAGCGGTCAAAAAGTGACGTTTTTCATGAAAAATGAAGTAACGTCGTCTTCTTCTTCTTCTCTGTCCGCGTCCGCTGACGTCATCAGGATTATATATATATAAATCTATTCTCACACCTTTCACTCACACCTCCCTCAACTTCCACCCACCCCTTTCCCCCCACATACCGCCCCCCCCCACCCCCACCACCACTCCCACCCCTCTTTTGCCCTAACTCACCTTCTTTCGCCTCTTTCACCCTCTTTCGTCCTCTCTCATCCTCTGTTGTCCTCTTTCACCCTCACCACCCTCTTTCACCACCCTCTTTCGTCCTCTTTCACCCTCTTTCGTCTTCTCTTTCGTCCTCTTTCACCATCTTTCGCCTCTTTCACCCTCTTTCGTCCTCTTTCACCCTCTTTCGTCCTCTTTCACCATCTTTCGCCTTTTTCACCCTCTTTCGTCCTCTCTCACCCTCTTTCATTCTCTCTCACCCTCTTTCACCCTCTTTCATTCCCATCTCACCCCCCTTTCGTCCTCTTTCACCCTCTTTCGTCCTCTTTCATCCTCTTTCGTCCTCTCACCCTCTTTCGTCCTCTTTCACTCTCCTTTGTCCTCTCCCATTCTCTTTCATTCTCTCTCACCCTCTTTCGACCTCTCTCACCCTCTTTCGTCCTCTTTCACTCTCCTTTGTCCTCTCTCACTCTCTTTCATTCTCTCTCATCCTCTTTTGTCCTCTCACCCTCTTTCGTCCTCTTTCACACTCTTTCGTCCTCTCTCACCCTCTTTCGTCCTCTTTCACCCTCTTTCGTTCTCTCTCACTCTCTTTCGACCTCTTTCGTCCTCTCTCACCCTCTCTCACCTCTTTCACCCTCGTACGTCTTTTCTCACCCTCTTTCGTTCTCTTTCACCCTCTTTCGACTATCTCGTCTTCTCTTACCCTCATTCGTCCTCTCTCACCCTATCTCCAAAAAATCATAAAAATGAAAAGGTCAAGCCATGTTCAAAAGAAGGTCCTCAAAAATTTAAACCTAGTCTGTACAATGAAAAATAATTACTCGTAATTTTAGAGTTCCAATTTGTTAATATCGAATAATGTATTTGTTTCAAGTAATGGCAGTAGAGTCAAATACATACCTACGTATATGCAGTTTTTGCTGTTAAATGTACTTGAACAAAAAAAATAATTAAATGATTTAAATATAGCACATTTTAAATCAAGAAACTTATATAATCGAACTCTGTTTAGGAAAAGGTAAAACATTTCATTTGCCTCTGCCTTTACAAGAAACATTGGATAAGATGTCCTCCGGAAGATCCTATAAATTTGAATCACGAGTTGCACATTCTCGTTCGAGGTATACCCAAGAAATCTAAAGTGGTTTGGGAAAATTTGGTAGATATTAATAAAATGTATAAGGCTTTACAATGGTTGAAAGAAAATAATCCTCATTACTCGAAAATTCGTCTTCCAGCGTCATCTGATGATCTATTAAAGGATAAGTTGCAGGAAACAGAATATAGGATTGTCGATGAGGAAAGCGACAATGACGAAATAAATGAGGTGGTTGAGGAATTACCAGCATTGAATTTGTACAATGTACAGCAAAACAAAAATAATAATATAAGATTTAACAAAAATAATAATGATCAAACCGTTTTAAAACGTACGGCTTTTCTCACACAAATCACTGAACATTCGGATATTAACGATCAGTATACAATATACCCAATACACGCGAAAAGAATCGATAACGAATCTGCATTGAAGCTTTATCAAATGGTGAAAATTGAAGATTTTCCAATGGATAATCGTTATAAATATCTGGATGTCATGTGTTTCCCTGATTTATATCCTGATGGTGTCAATGGACAACGAGAAGATAGAAACTTTGCATTGCCGGAATATTTATTTATTAGAACACGATTGATGTCGAAACATAGTAGATTCAGGTTGAATCTGCAGTATCTGTTCTTCCTTCTCAATGATGCTAACTACCGACAGTTGAAAAGTGGTATCTATTATACGATGATGGTTACTAACCCACGAGAGAGATACACTGCTGGTAGATACTTGAACGAATTGAAAGGTTACCAATTAGAATCGAATTTAATGAGTATTTTCGCAAAATTGAGAAATACGGATCAATTTTGGCGACAACCGTCCAATAATGTAAAATGCATGACTTTGCATTACGGTCCAGCGACGTGGTTTTTGACTTTGAGTCCTAGTGAATGGAAATGGTCCGATTTGGGTGAATATTTACGAGATATGAATCCCGATAAAGAGAAGTTAGGCATCAGCGAACTAATCGCATACGATCCTGTAAGTACTTCTAGATTCATGTGCATAAAATTCAAAGCCATGATTGATTTTATTTGTTCGTCCGATAATCCAATAGGAAAGGTTATTCATTACTTCTGGCGACTGGAATATCAACGTAGAAGTATCCAGCACATGCATTGTATGATTTGGATAAAAGATGCTCCAGTATTAGGAAAATCGCCGGATGAAGAAGTTGCTACGTTTATTCAAAAATACGTAACGTGTGAAATTCCAGATGAAAATGTTTCGCCAACGTTGTACGATACGGTAATAAGTGATCAGAATCATAAACATAACTCGTATTGCATGCGTACAAAAAAAACGGAAACTAATATATACAGAAAGTGTCGGTTCGATTTTCCTCGGCCAGTTACTGAGAATTTCGTTTTAAGAGACGTTATCACTTTGATAGTCGGTAGAAAAAATTTACGCAGTAAGAGCAGATTGTACGATCTTCCTCGCAAGGAGTCGGAAAGGTTTATAAATGATTATAATCCGGCTATCAAATTAGCCTGGGAGGGAAATATGGACATACAATTTATTAGAGAAAAATCAGAGTTTTTAAACTCATATTTAACAAAATACACGACAAAGTCGGAAAAATGCAATACAGACTTTGAAGTGATAGATTCGAATAAGTCCTTGGCATCGAAACTGTGGAATTTTGCAATGCGTTCATTAAATAACAGAGAATGCGGTGCTTTAGAAGCTGCGGATACACTATTAGGGAATCCCTTGTACGGTACGGATAATGATACCATGGTCAAATGGATCGATGTTAATGAGGTGAGAAATAGAAAAGTTAAAACATTTAATGAAATTTAAGCTCTCGATGAAAATTCTACGAATATTTACTGTTCGTCACTCATCGATGATTACTATCCAAATAGACCTCAGGAATTAGAATCATTGAATTTGTACGATTTTGCCAGATTCTGGGAAATTACGAAACAGATGTCAAATAATGACGAAGTCAAGTGTTACAAACTGGCATCGGGTTTATTTTTAAAAAAACGAAAAAAGGGTTATTTAATTAACCATTATCGATTTAATATAAAAACTGAGCCCGAAAAATACTTTTACTCGCTGCTTCTTCTGTTCAAACCATGGAGAGATTTGAGTGAACTCAAAGGTACATTCGAGACTTACACGGATGCCTTTAAGAATTCAGAGTCTGTTTTAACGAAGGCAATGAAATATCACGAAAGGCTCGAAGAAATACAGAAAGCTTTTGAGAACGTTGCTGAATTAATCGAGAAGCGCGAAAATGATCTGAAAACAGCAGACAGAGACAAATCCGATGACGATGAACTGGATTGTAATCCGATAGAAGCTGACGACGCGATGAAAGATCTGGAAGATTTTGGTAAGATTGACGACCCGATTGATTTATCGCAAATGATGTCGCAATTGAACAAAGACCAGAAAAGAGTCTTTGATGGAGTATGCCAAGTTTTACAAGATAAGAATCAGATTCTGCGACTGTACGTAAGTGGCGAGGGTGGTACAGGGAAAAGTTTTCTAATTGAAACGATTAAACATTGGATCAGAATAAATTTGGAAAAAACGACTGCCATATCTGCTCCCACGGGTATCGCAGCATTCAATATCGATGGCTTGACAATCCATAGAATGTTTCAACTACCGGTTAGTCATGAATCTACACCAAAATATACGCAATTGTCAGACATGGTCTTGAAAACTTTGAGAGACAAATTAAAGAATGTCGAATTATTTATAATCGAAGGAATTACATGTAACAATGCAATGATGGATTTAGGAACGACTGTATTCAGTGATGGTCAAGCCTATGTAGGTTTGTCACGAGTAAGTAAATTGGAAGGCCTACATTTGATAAATTTCAATCCAGCATCAGTTAAAGCAAACTCGAGAGCCATTGTAGAATATAATCGACTGAGATCTATATTCAAATCTGAACTGCCACAAATCAATCCGTCCGAGAAAAAGGTTGTGAAAATGTACGATCGTCGATGGGATATCCCTAATATCATTGATGATATGCAGAATTATGATTGTGAGGAACCAGAAAGTATAGTTACGTGGAAAATATATGGCCTTTGCAATAACGATGCTGTTTCGTGTTACGCTAATGTAATATTACAATGTGCGTTTCATTGCGTACGTATTAGGCAACAAATACTGAAAAATAAAGCATCGAATGCATTGATTGATGCTATCTGCGCGTATGGTGAACGTAAATATTGCAACATTCAAGCGGTTAGAAGATCTGTCGGAAAACGCTTCGAAGAACGAACACAACAAGATGTTTCGGAATTTTTTACGGCTCTAATGTCGACGTATTCCGACATCAATAATGTATTAAAACTCGAATTAAAGCACGTAACATGTTGCTCGAATGTCAAATGTAATTACAATGTAACTAAGCTGGAAAGCAGTAGTTTGTTAATATTACCTATACATTCGACATTAAAAAGGAAAAAAGGTGTCACTCTACAAAGTTTGATTAATGTAGAATTTTCTAAATGGGAAACGATAAACGGCAATTGTAACGAATGTAAGGGCACCGTGTTGAAAAAGAAAACCGTAATCGAATCAACTTTATCCGTCGTAGTAATACAGCTCAATTTATATACTTTTGTAAACGGTGCTTCTAAAAAAATTATCAACAATCGGATTACCGCCGTGCCGACGAGTAATATCACGATTAATAAAAAAAGTACAAGCTAATAAGCGCTATATTTCACGAAGATGAAAAAATGAATCGTGGTCACTACACGTGTATGTTGAGAGCTGACACAAAATCGGAATGGTATTACTCTAATGATATGGAAGTGTTCAAGAAAAAATGGCCCAAAGGAGCACAAGGAGCATACATATTGTTCTTAGAACAGATTAAATAATGGCGCTGTATAAAGACTGCCGTAAACGCTACATTAAAACATCAACTGTTCTAGCGCTGTATAAAAGTTGCCGTAAGCGCCAAAATAAAATATCGGCTGCTCTGGCGCTTTATAAAAGCTGCTGTAAGCGCTGCATTAAAACGAGTGCAATAAGTTTCTAATTTGACCTAGGCTTCATGACATTTCAAGAAGTATCATCAAGAAAAAAATTATCAGACAGAAATATGTATGTCGTGTTAAAATCGGAGAGACGAAGAAAAATATATGGTTGCGTTCTCACGAGAATGGGCGATGGAGGGGCCCATTCCTTATTTTCAATATTTATACAAGAATATAAATTCATTCTGTTGCAATTGAAATAAATGTGCAATGTATCGTTAAAAGTTATTACAATTATACAAACATTTACATATATGATTAAATAAAATATTATATGTATACTATAATATAATTATATATTTTATATATGTACATATATACCATATATTTCAATTATTTTGAACTGTATTGCATAAATTGTTACTTATACAAAGTTATGTGATAAGAATCGAAAATACATATATTTGTGATACTTGAATTACTAGAAAGCTGCTCTATATATCTGTACTTTAAAAAGTAAGTGATATCCTAAAAAAATCATAAAAATGAAAAGGTCAGGCCATGTTCAAAAGAAGGTACTCAAAAATTTAAACGATCTAATAATAAATTATCACGAAAAGTAACTGATATGTTATTCAAGGTGCCAGTTCAAAGTGAACATACGTAAAGTGTATATTATCTAAATTTAGTAATAATATATTATCATGAAAAGTAACTGTAATATTTTATTCAAGGTGCAAGTTCACATTGAATATACATACATATAAGTAAAACTGATTACAATTTGATTCTAGAAAATAAGTGCGATATGTTATTCTTAGTGCACAAAATATAATAGTCGTTTATAGAGATTTGATTTGAAATTCATACTAGCCCGTACAATGAAAAATAATTGCTCGTAATTCCAGAGTACTAATTTGTTAATGACTCAGAAAAATAACATGGCGGCCTGCTCTCAAAAAACTTTCGATGGGTAGAATAAATAATTAAAATAAGAGTTGTGAAAATTGTATAAATTAAAAACCTCCAATCTTTCTTTAGTAAAATTTCGAATTTTCGTATCAACTTCCGATTTGTGTTATACCGTATTTTCAGGGAGTAAGTTATTGATCAGAAAACTTTGCCTTGTTGCTCGAAACGGGTGTATATTAAGTAAAATTTATAAATGTACAGTTCTCAGGTCAACTACAATAAAGCTATACGCTTAAAAAGTTTACTGATTATTTGTCGTAATATACAATAAAAAATTACATATTAATTATTCAAGATACAAGTGAGAAATAAATATCATTAAAATATACAAAAAAAATTTATCAATTTGACTCTGAAAAGTAAGTGACATGGTTCTCAAAGTGCAAGGTTTCATTTGACTTACAATTTTCTTCAGAAACACAGAAGAAAAAGGTATTTGTATATAGTTTTGTATATTCACTTCGTTGTGTGTGTAGAGCTTTTAAAAATACGTTGAATCCTTATTCTAATCTAATCTTCTTCTAATGTAATACTTTTCGTATTTCAAATGTTGTAGTAATTATTCTGTAAGAGCTTCGACATTATTTCTAAATGGACATCGAGAAACATCATAGTTTTTTGAGAGCAGGCCGCCATGTTATTTTTTTGAGTCATTAACAAATTAGTACTCTGGAATTACGAGCAATTATTTTTCATTGTACGGGCTAGTATGAATTTCAAATCAAATCTCTATAAACGACTATTATATTTTGTGCACTAAGAATAACATATCGCACTTATTTTCTAGAATCAAATTGTAATCAGTTTTACTTATATGTATGTATATTCAATGTGAACTTGCACCTTGAATAAAATATTACAGTTACTTTTCATGATAATATATTATTACTAAATTTAGATAATATACACTTTACGTATGTTCACTTTGAACTGGCACCTTGAATAACATATCAGTTACTTTTCGTGATAATTTATTATTAGATCGTTTAAATTTTTGAGTACCTTCTTTTGAACATGGCCTGACCTTTTCATTTTTATGATTTTTTTAGGATATATATTTACAGAAAGGATCATGGAGAATCGTCCCAAACGGAATATCATCAAACCTCGACGATTTCAAACGACATCTTCGGACGAGGCGGAAGAGTCAGGAAGAAAGACGATGGAGCTACAGGGCACTCAATTAGAAAAGGATGTTGCTGAGTTACGGGGAGTATTAGAAGAGAGTCATTCGCCCAATACTAATATGCATGCTAATCATTCACTCACTAACTCACAATCATTTACAGAGTCACTCACACAACACAAACACCTTTTATGCATGAAAACACAGTCATCATCCTACGCACAACCATCAACAATCACTCACACAACACAAGCATCTTTTATGCATGAAAACACACAGTCATCATCCTACGCACAACCATCAACAGTCACTCACACAACACAAGCACCTTTTATGCATGAAAACACACAGTCATCATCCTACGCACAACCATTAGCAGTCACTCACACAACACAAGCACCTTTTATACATGAAAACACACAGTCATCATCCTACGCACAACCATTAGCAGTCACTCACACAACACAAGCACCTTTTATACATGAAAACACACAGTCATCATCCTACGCACAACCATTAGCAGTCACTCACACAACACAAGCACCTTTTATACATGAAAACACACAGTCATCATCCTACGCACAACCATCAACAGTCACTCACACAACACAAGCACCTTTTATGCATGAAAACACACAGTCGTCATCCTACGCACAACCATCAGCAGTCACTCACACAACACAAGCACCTTTTATACATGAAAACACACATTCATCATCCTACGCACAACCATCAACAGTCACTCACACAACACAAGCACCTTTTATGCATAAAAACACACAGTCATCATCCTACGCACAACAAAATTTTCATGATACAACGCAAACATTCACACACAAACCACATGCTGCTGCTACTCATACACAACACATTGGTAGCCAATTAAATACACCGCATAACACTCAGTTACAGCCTTTAAACATCTGGCCAACTTCATCGTCAAGTTATCTGCCAAGCTCTTCTCAAGCTTCAAGAGAATTTTACAATTTTCATGTGAGACCGGAAATTCAGTGAGTGTACATTGAACAGAAATTTTTATAATTGGAATATATGTATGCTATAGTCATATATAGAAATATAATAATATATTTACAGAGCCATACATGGAAGAATGGATCAATTAGCTTTGGAAGTTCAGTAAGTTTTAAATGTAATATGTACATAAACAATGTCAGTCATTTTATATCCTAATATATAATATTATTATATTATTTATATGATATGCTTTTTATACAGACAAATACACCAAAAATTGGACAGAGTGTTGACGCAGATTAGCAATAACCGAAGGCATATGCCGGAGAAACCAGCATTTTTGCCATTATCATTAGTTGAAGATGTTGAAATATTTGAAACTGCTAATGATGAAGAATATATGAAATTGGTATGTAAAATACAGTTTTATCATTTATATATATGTTAGGGTGTTTGTTTTGACAATTTATAAAATTCTTCTGGGACCCTTTTCAATTTTTTAGTCGATAAAAAGAGAAAAATTTTTATTCTTTGTAAAACATAATACGATGAGTCTAAGGGTTCCCACATAGACTTTACAAATTTCCATTTAAAATACATGAAGTTTTTTCATTAAGTTTTCTGTTGTATTTAAACAAGATCAATATTTTGTATTCTTGTAATTAAAACCTTACTATAAAATTGTATAAAACGTAACTGTATAAGACTTAATAAGCAATTCTAATTTGTTATAGTCTTTCAATTTAGATAAAATGTAAAAGTTCTTAGTTTTTCAATATTTTATTTATTTAAAGTTCTCAATAGGTTTCATGTAATTAAGTTTTACATTTACAAGAATGAAAAATATTGATCTCGTTTACATACAACAGAAAACTTAATGAAAAAACAATGTATTTTTAATAGGAATTTAAAGTTAACGTGGGAACCCTTAAACTAGATTACTAGATGTAAATAAAAATATAAATGCAAAATATTCTTTATAGGTGAATTATTTAATTTTTATTGGTGGTCTTAATGCCAAAGAAAGTGTTAATTTGTGCTTCAAAGAGATATTTCAAGATTCTTTGATGAACTTATACACTTGGTTCGGGCGTGAGGATAATCAACGACCATTATACAATACCCGTTTGGTGAACGCTATTTATGGTATATTGTTACACATTAAGCTAAAGTTGTGTTATCAATGGTACTATTTTATATTTGTTTTTTTTTACAGATGCTATCTGCGAAAACAAAAATTTTGAAAGACCAATGCGGGCTGCATTTCAAACATATATGCGGGATGCTCTGCGAACGGCCAAGCAACGACACAGGAATAGAGCGCGCAACAACTTGCATCGTCCGGAAGGAAGAAATAGAAATGAACGAGCACTATGGAACGACGAACACGACGAAATACAACCAGAAGAAAATTAGGTCAGTTATATGAAATTGTTTATAATTAATTCTTTATAATTAATCTTTTTCATTCCTCAATATTAAAAACTGGTCGACTGTTGTAGATTTACAGGAAAAATGTATGATGAAGAAAGAAGATCAAAATTCCAATTCTTGAGCATATACAGTGTTGTGTTATATGATTTTAAAATTAGCTAGATTAAAATGAAAATAATTTTGTTTTAAATATATATAGATAAAAGATAAAATTATATGGCAATTCATCTAGATAACTTTCAGATAATATTATTTTTAAAAGTACTTATATAAACACAGTTTAAAAAAATGTAAATTATGTGAGAGGGATATAAAAAATATATTTATTTTAATTTGAACGTTTTTAATGCTCAAGTTTTGCTGAAGTTTTCCTATTTAAGTATTTTTATGTCTTATGACTCTGAACGAAATTATCTGAATATTCTACATAATTTAATAAAGAGATAACACTTTTTATCTAAGATGCAGATATAGATAATACATATTTTTATTATCTATAAAGATAAGATGACGCCAAAATTTTATCTAAATCATCTATATAATTTTATTTAGATAATGGCAAAGACTAAGCATATACGAACATCTTTCATACAAACAATGATTCGTATTTGAATGAATATTGTTTTAGTATACAAAAATTGTTCGTGTATGCTCAAGAATTGGAACGAAGAAGAAAATGGAAGCGGGAGAAGATGGAGTGACCCTACAGACGAAGACAAAGAACAAAAAGAGGGCAAAAACGAAACAATACGCACTTTTTAGCGCGAACTGGCACTTTTCATTGGCTAAACAGCATTGAAAAGTGCCACATTTTTAATCACTTACAACAGTGGAATTTATCTCGATTTGCACTAAATCGGCACTTTTCAGTGCCAGATGGAATTCACTTCGATTCACATTAAATCGGCATTTTTTAATGTCACTGTAGGCCTATTCTATAAGGCCTATTTTTTTAACGAAAATGTCGCTATCGTGTTGCGTATTATTGCGGATGTCAAAATACATGTATTTACAATAGGCACTTTTTCATAAACACGTAATTCGAAAGTATTTGATTGACTAATCAGGATTAAAGAATCTTTGTCCTTATTGGTCTATGGAGATGAAAGTATTTGTAATAACTATATTAGATATCTATATTATCTATATTATCTATTCTGTAATATTTAATAACTTATTTATTTATTAAAAATTTATTTATTAAAAAATTGCTTAAGTATTATCCCTCTATTTAGAAAGATTAATATATAGTATTAATTAAATTTGATATAATCAAATATATAAGCAAATTTGTAGCAAGAACAGAGCAAAGGTTTTAACAGTGCGGATTGTAATTAATAATAAAATAATGAGCTCATTAAAAGGATTTTAATAGCATTAATTAAATTTTATATAAATAAATAAATATAAAAATAATTAAAATTCTATATATTTTTTATTAATATTAATAATAATAAAATATAAAGAAAATTTAATTATTTTTATCTATTTATATAAAATTTAATATACTATTAATTAAAATCTTTTTAATGAGCTCATTAATTCATTAAATTATTATATTAATTACAATCCGCACTGTTACGACAACCTTTGCTTTGTTCTTGCTATAATTTGCTATTAAAGTCATGCACAGCAAGGTTTGCTTTGTTATTTGCGTAAATTTTGCGTCTCATCGTGTCAGAGCAAACTTTGCCCTGTTCTTGCCACAAATTTGCTATCACATCGTGCACGGCAAGGTTTGCTTTGTTATTTGCGTGAATTTTGCGTCTTATAGTGCCAGATCAAACCTTGCCCTATTCTTGCCACAAATTTGCTATCATGACGCGCACGGCAAAGCTTGCTCTGTTATTTACGTGAATTTTGCGTCACGCTGTTGTGACAAACCTTGCCAGCAAAAGCTCAGCTTAATGCGGACACACCTTGTTGCAATTTTGCTACAAAGGCCTGCTCGAGTTTGCCGCAATCTTTGTGCAAAGTTTGTATCATTTTGCTAGCTGGGGAAATACAACACAAAGTATCCTTATTCAAATTAATATTCAAAGTTGGAATAGGATTGTTTTATAAAACTTATCTGAAGAAAATTCTGCTTTTTGATTCCTTCTTTTCTCTAATTTAATTTTGATAATTTTCTCTTATATATATAATGTGGACATACTGCATAATAAATCTTCTATTTCATATGGTACAATTTATCTTCTAATGTAATTTGTTTTGTTTTATATAATGAACACGTGAATATATTTCATTTACATAAATATTTTTATTTCATTAAGATTCTGAAATTAAATAAAAAAGTATTAAAAAAATATGATTCAGAATATTTGCGATAATAATATTACATGTACCTCTCATATAAAATAATAAAAAAATTAGAAAAAAAATTTTAACAGCATGGGGTTTTGAACCTGAGTTCTCATGGTTACTAGCCCCGCACTTATCCACTCCGCCATACAGCCCCAATCGAAAACATAAATTTTGTCATATATTTTTTAAACAGTAAGTAGGTTAGAACAGGTGAGCCAATTGTTGAGTTTGATTCACCCTAGACATAGTCGTACGTATGTCGTACTATTTCACTTTTAAAAGGTGGCGGGCATTACATTTTGATTCAAATTCACTTTGTTTACTACGATTGAGGTAGCAACGCATAGATATGTCTCGTAAGTATAATTTATTATTAATTTTGTATAATAATTATAATTAATCACTTTTTTATCTTGCCGTACATCTTTTTTAAATAGAATTATGTAAAATTATTATATTTTTTTTAGAAAAATCAGATGATCTATTAATGGAGACGGACGAAGAGCCGATGCTGCTCATTCTCCGGCAAATGCTGGAGGAGCAGCGACATATGCGGCAAGAGCTGCAGGCGATCCAACGCCAGCAGAGGAGCATTGCTCCACAGCGGCAGCTGCAGCCACAGCAACAGCAACCGCAGCAGCAACAGCAACCGCAACAACAACCGCAGCAGCAACCGCAACAGCAACCGCAGCAGCAACCGCAACAGCGACCGCAGCAGCAATCGCAACAGCAACCGCAGCAACAGCCGCAGTCGCAGCCGCAGTCGCAGCCGCAATCGCAGCCGCAGCCGCAGCCGCAGCCGCAGTCGCAGCCGCAGCCGCAGTCGCAGTCGCAGCCGCAGCTGTACAATGAAAGTACGTGTTGTCTATAATTTTTTTTCTAAACACACACGTATACATGTAATATATACAATTTTACTATTTCAGATTTATTCAGATATAGACGAGGAGCCGGGCGAGCGAGGGCCCGATGGTATCGGCAACGAGGGGGCCATTTTCATGGCCGTGGTCGCGGACAGAACGGCCGCGGTAGTCACGGTGGCCGCGGTGGTCGCGGTGGCCGCCATACAATAATTAAAAATTATTATTTGAATTAATATTATTATTATAATTATTACATTATTATTATTATTACTATTATATTATTACTATTATTATTACTATTATTATTACTATTATTATTATTACTATTATTATTACTATTACTACTATTACTATTACTATTATTACTATTACTACTAATACTACTATTATTATTAATATTACTTTATATATTTACATTAATATTATAAATATAAAAAAATATACATTTATTTAATGCATTTTATTTAATAATCTTTGCAAAAATATGTGAAATCCCACAAAAAAAGACATCACAGATGTAAAAAAAAAAGCGCTAAGTTATATCTTTCGCCAGCAAAAATAGTTCTTTATAATAATAAAAAATATTATCTTCTCAAAAATTATGTTTATAGGAAAAATAATTCTTTGCAAAAATTAATCACCATCAAAAATATTTTCTCAAAAATTATATTTATAAATTATATTTTATTTTTGTTAATAATACTAGAAAATAATTAAAATATTAGCATCAAAAAGTAGTGAAATCAAAAAATTGCGCTAAATAATTATATTAATAATACGAGAAAAAAGGTTAAAATATTAGCATCAAAAAGTAGTGAAATCAAAAAGTTGCACTAAGTAAATGACAACATAATATATAATATTTAGATAAATTTCCTATAATGATACAAATGTATAATTATTGCTTTATTTTAAAACGTTTATAATATATATATGAACAAAATAAATTCAGTAAAATATTAAGAGACGCGGTAGTGTCTCCGGCCATGTTCAAACCCTAAAAGACCTTAAAAGACACTACAAGTCTCCTTATCCTGCACTATCAAAGTCCATTTTTTGGGGGTGTAGAACTACTAAAATATAAAAAATTTTGAATTGCACGTAATATAATCTGAAAAGCGGCATCGCCACGAGTAATTTGAGCCAAGAAAAAATAAAATCGGTCAAGCCGTTCTGGAGATACAAGCGGTCAAAAAGTGACGTTTTTCATGAAAAATGAAGTAACGTCGTCTTCTTTTTCTTCTTCTTCTCTGTCCGCGTCCGCTGACGTCATCAGGATTATATATATATATATATCCTAAAAAAATCATAAAAATGAAAAGGTCAGGCCATGTTCAAAAGAAGGTACTCAAAAATTTAAACGATCTAATAATAAATTATCACGAAAAGTAACTGATATGTTATTCAAGTTGCCAGTTCAAAGTGAACATACGTAAAATGTATATTATCTAAATTTAGTAATAATATATTACCATGAAAAGTAACTGTGATATTTTATTCAAGGTGTACATGTCACTTACTTTTCAGAGTCAAATTGATAAATTTTTTTGTATATTTTAATGATATTTATTTCTCACTTGTATCTTGAATAATTAATATGTAATTTTTTATTGTATATTACGACAAATAATCAATAAACTTTTTAAGCGTATAGCTTTATTGTAGTTGATCTGAGAACTGTACATTTATAAATTTTACTTAATATACACCCGTTTCGAGCAACAAGGCAAAGTTTTCTGATCAATAACTTACTCCCTGAAAATACGGTATAACACAAATCGGAAGTTGATACGAAAATTCGAAATTTTACTAAAG